TTAAATTGTTTGTCATCGGCTCACCACATAGTTAAGCATTTATATACATAATCTATCTGTTCATGTATAATTTTTCTTTTTTTTTTGTGGAATGCAATATTGAACATTTATAAAGGAAATAACATAATTGGACGAAAATAGAAGAAGAGAAAATGGGATGAATTCAAAAAGTACCAAACCCAAGTGTATACGATGAAGAAGATAAGATAAGAGACAGACCATGTGGTTCCACTTATCCTATATACTGTATTAATTATTACCAATATTATAATAACAAACATGACTAGTTTATACATTAACACATCTTTATTCTCGATCTACTGTGTCTCGGTGTCGTCTTCTTGTTGCTCCTCAATCATTTATAAATTCACGAGATGTTTGCTTCCTCCATTCTATGAAACATCTGTATTCATTCCAATCAGTATTTATAATATAACATAGAACATTAATACTTGGACTGCCAATTTGTGAATCTTGTTTATGATAAATATGTTTTGACTTTTCTCAACGCTTATGCAAATTCATGTCCAAGCAATAAGCCCACGACTTGATTAAAATTAAGAATATGGTTACAGGTGAGAGAGCATGTGGATGTGGCAATGTAGCATCTTCCCACGAAGGTTCATTAAAAACTAGCATAATTATTTTCGCATGATCAATTTAATTTGAAAAATACGTATAAATGTATTTGTATCGACTATCATTCTTGGACATCGATTGAGCCTACAGCGTTACGTAGCCTATCATATGTTTCCGACCATTACAAGAGGGGCCTTAGATATAAAGTTATGATATTAATGAAGATAAAAAGCCGAATATAAATTGCTAAACCACATAACAAAGTCTATCCTTACTAGGTTTATCACACTAGGGCAGCATGATCACAATACAAGCAATACAAGAAAACTAAAGATAACACACTGCCACTGGTTTGAAAAAAAAACTCTCAGCTTTCAAAACTAAAGAAAAGCAGCAAGTGGCATTTATTCATAAATAGATAATATATATACACTTGAGGAATTGAGAATATTGTAGAGTAAAAACTAGAAGGTCCAATCAAGATCATCCATGGGATTGAAATCAATAGACATTGCTGAGGAGAAAAGAGAAGCAAAATCAGGATCAAAAGTGGAAGAAGGAGTATTAAACAAAATGTCCATGTTGAAACAGTCATCATCATTATGATCAACTACCATAGCTGCCTTGTCACTCGACAACATTGGAGCTTCGGGGATCGCCATTCCATCAACATTTGACCAATTTGGAATCATAATATTCTCATCATCCAAGAGACTTGACATGGTGTCATTGATAGGGATCATGGTTTGAGAGGGGATTGGATTCTGGTTAGGAGATTTGAGTCTGTTTGGTTTAGTGGAAGTAGGAGGATTGATGTTTGTGATTGAGAAAGCAGTGGTTGATTGATCATGAGTAGGGTTCTTATTCATGGACGTAGTCTTGCTTGGCTTAGGAATATTATTATTATTAGAAGACGAAGATCTTTTGTGTGAAGCCATGAGGTTATGTGTAGAAGGATCTAAGCCTTGAGAAAGAAGCTTCTTCTTAATGCATGAGTTCCAAAAGTTCTTGACTTCATTATCAGTGCGTCCGGGTAAGTGCTTAGCAATCTGAGCCCATTTGTTACCAAGAATACGATGGACATCGATTATAATTTGCTCTTCCTCCGCGTTAAATGTACCTCTCTTCAAGTCGGGTCTAAGATAGTTTATCCACCTCAATCTACAGCTCTTCCCACATCTTTGCAACCCTATAAACACACATACATACTGTTAGAA